TTCCCTGTTCCTAATGAGAAGCTAAATTGATTTTAGTTTTGCCTTCATTCTCCATATGACTTCTTACAAAGATGACAGCAGCTGAGGGCCAGCAGAATTGAGAGATGCATGAAGAGCTGGAGAAAGAGATCAAATTAAGAAAGAGAGGCAGAGATTTTAGACAACCACAACAATCAAGAATTAGCTTTATTTTCTTGTTGCTGGTAATCTTTCCCCCTGCCTCCCATATGTCATAGGATCACATTAGCGCTAAACCTGATTTGTTATTTTATTTTGCAGTTGAAAGAATGTAATAAAGGGCTCAAGATTGCTTTCCATTTACAATATCTTTATCTTTTTTTAAAAGGATTTTTTTTTAAATTTTATATATTTATTTATTTATTATTTTTGGCTGTGTTGGGTCTTCGTTTCTGTGCGAGGGCTTTCTCTAGTTGCGGCAAGCGGGGGCCACTCTTCATTGCAGTGCACAGGCCTCTCACTATCGTGGCCTCTCTTGTTGCGGAGCACAGGCTCCAGACTCACAGGCTCAGTAGTTGTGGCTCACGGGCCTAGTTGCTCCGCAGCATGTGGGATCTTCCCAGACCAGGGCTCGAACCTGTGTCCCCTGCATTAGCAGGCAGATTCTCAACCACTGTGCCACCAGGGAAGCCCTCCATTTACAATATCTTTATTCTTTGATGCATGAGCAAAGAGAGAGATGGAAGTATTTGGTGCTATAAACCTTACCAATTATTCCCTTATCTTTTTACATTTCTTTTGAATATTATTTATGTCAACATCTCTCTCCCAGTGCTGCTTGGATTGAAGCCAGTTGAAGTCTTTTCTCAATAAAAGTAAGGACATAATAAAGGAGGTGTGTTCATTATCTTCTTGTTCACTTGGGCACAGTTCTGTGAACTATTTTCGGAAGCTGTTCAGTATCATATTTTACAAAGCCCTGGACATCACGGGGTGGATGCCCTCGGTACATTGCTACCTCAAATCCCAACTGAAAACCCATGGTCTCCCCCTCAGAGCTGTGAAGCATCTGCCCCACTGTCCTTACGTCCATGTGGAAATCCTCTGCAACCTTATTACTCTGAGATTACGTGGAAATGATCTTTCTCCTCTTTGTTTTCTCATATAAAATTATATTTTGTGACTCAATACAAGTTTTACCATTTTTTCCTTGCCTTTGGGTTATCCAGATTACACTGTGCTTCCTTTTTGAAATGTGAACATTTTCAGGAAAGTAAAAGGTTAAGGTATCTGGTGGAGCAGATGTAAAGACAAGTGAAATTTCATATTATCTTCTCTTAATGCCTATTTGCTGCAAATGTAGAATAGGGGATTATGATACATCCATTTTATGTAGTCGGTTTTCCTGGCTATTGCTTCTGATAGGGGGATGTTCTTCTAGTGAATATCATGCCCTCTGATAAATTTTGATGGGGGTTAATTGGGAGGACATCTCAAACATTTAGCATTCTTCTATCCTTTGCAGAACTTAGGTACTTTCTTTTTTACGGATATGCAAATATATTGAAATGCAAACCTTTACATATTAGAGTAGTGCTTCTTAAATTTGAGCACATCAGAATCACCTGAGAAGCTTGTAAAAATACAGATTCATGGGTTCTACCCCAGAGAGTCAGGTTTGGTAAATTTGGAGTGGGTCCCAAGAATGTGCATTTCTAACAAGCTCCCAGGTGAGGGTGATGCCCCTGCTGCCATCCACAGGCCATACTACAGGGGGCACCAGGTTAGAACCCACATACCTCTGTACATAAAAAGCACCTAAGAATACCTGGATTCCCTCTCTTCCTTTCCCAACTTTGCCTCTTTCTTCTTTAGCTGAGTCTCTTCTTTCTCTCACTTTTAAATTCATATGGATTTGCCCCATGATCTCCATGAGTCCAGAACACTTACCAAAAGCATATCTTTAAATTAAAAGACTTAATTATAATAAGGAAGAAAACCTTATTAGTATAGTGGCCAACCATGAACATAACTGCAGTGGGGTCTCAAAAGGCCCTTTTCCTGCCACATCCATCTTCTTCCATGGTATTATTTACAGAGACTGAAAAGGAAAGTGCCTAGAAAATGTACTGTTTGTTTGTTTGTTTTGAAAACAATGCTTTCTCACCAGAGAGCTCTGCTTGTCATTCCTTTGGGTAGGGGCTCTGGAGTTGCATGACAGCATCCATTCCCTAAACAAGATGTCCTGTAGCATGCCTTCACCTGCTTGGCATTCCGTGGTCCACTGCACCATCTCTCTGCATACCCCAGTACTTTTCTTTGTGGTCTCAAGGCCTGTTGCTCATATAACAGTTTCTGCTCTAGCACACGCATGGATGTGAGCTTTTGTGAGCCGTAATTTCTTAGATTCCAACAGAAGCATGCTTCATTGGGATAAATTGACAAAGAGATATTGATTCCTTAGGAGTTAACACTCTTAACTCGGTGGGAGGTGGGAGCATCAGAACAGGCTAGGCCACAAGTGCTTTAGGAAATTACATCAAGTGTTCTGTTGGCCAAAGGCATTCATTCTGTGTGCCCCACTCTTCAAATGATCATTTCAAAACAAATGGGGAAGGGAGATCCATATGAACTTTTAACAATTGTTTCTTCAATACTTTTTCAATAGTGCTTTTCAAAGTCTGTGCATATATTTGGGTAAAGAGTTGTTGCCGGTGTCCTACGTACTGACCAAGTTTTGCTCACATCTGCTTATATGCCATTATTCCATTGAAGTTTCCTTTATTTATTTATTTGATGGATGACCAGGGATGCAGTGTTTGGTCCTCCAATCTACCACAAACAATAAGGAAGTTTAATAGACCCACTACCTCTAGGTACAGAAAGATAGTCAGATAGACACACACACACACACGATTGTAGCTGAGTCAGTTAGTAAGTTGGACGTTTTTCATCACTGCTGTAAAGTTAGGATGACAGAACTGCAGAAATAGCTTTGCTCCTGGTACCTCATATAACATAGCACCAGGAACCTATAGGTGCTGATTTGAAAAGAATGACATCACCAACCTCCAAATTATTTACATACTTTCTGCCCAGAGAATTTCCTCGGGGCAAACCAAGTTAGATTTCATAGTGAAATAGAATTTCTGAACTACTGATATTTAAACACAATTTTTCATATTGTTTAGAGCTTGTAAATATCCTTATGCTGATTAATTTTCAACTATTACAATGGGTTCATTTTGATAAATATTGATTCAAGAGAATGAAGTTTGCAGTTCCCAAGAAATCTTTTATTCATGTAGAAAGACATAATGAAAATAAAATGATATTTGCCTAACTTTAGGGGTTTGGAGGGGTTTTTTGTTATTGTTGTTTTTGGTTTGGCATCCATGTTATATATTTGGGGTTTTTTTGGATTTTTGCTTTTGTTTATCTTTTTTTTTTTTTTAAAGATTTTTGATCTCACTTTTTATAAGCACTTATGCCAAATGTCTTGCCTGTGGTATGGCAATGCCATACCATTTTCTCTGTCCGTCAACTTTTGAAGAAAGAAAGTATCTTCTGTTTTCTCCATCTTCAGTTCAGTGAGGGGAACCAATAAAATACTACTACCAAATTTGGACGTTTCTTAAGTCTATTTTAGGAAGAAAGACAGGAAAATAGTGAAATCTTCTCTTTGTAACTGTAAACATGATATTCTAGATATATCTTATATTAGAAATTACATACTTTAGTGATGTGTACTGGCCCAAGGGTGAATGTCAGCCTAAATGGAGTTATTTTCTCATCATAGCATCAACGAGATCCTCGATTGAATGAAATTTTATTCCCATTTTATGATACTAAAAGGGCAATGCAGATCATTGAGATGTATGAGCCTGATGAAGACTTGAAGAAAAAAGGTAAGAAAAGTGAAAAAAGAGAGAATTTTTCTTTGTTTAAAACAATCAAAGACATATGCAACTTTTAAAGTCCTTGAATTTTTAGTTAAATGTATCTTTAAATGCTTTGGGGCTCTCTAGAGGCAAGGATTGATAACTGACTGATTTTTTTTTTTTTTTCCTTGCTCTAAGTATAAGTTTTACCTTACACCAAAATTTGTTCGTGCTGCCTGAAGTGTAATGGTAAATTTATTATTAAACTATAGTGATATTTTCCCCACGTACTTTCTTATCTTTCGTATTGCATAGTGCTTAAAATGTAAAAATGCCAATTATAGTCTCTGTTCGCCATCTATGAAAACAATGCTATTTGCTATCAAAATTGACAGCTTCTTCTCCCTTTAGTTTTGCAAGCTAACTAAATTTAATACACAATTTAAAGAGTCTTTTTACTCATCATTTGACCTCTGGTTTGGAAGATAAATGCAATTGACATGAAATTAAATAGGAATCAATTTAGCAAATTGTTGGAGTTTTTCAGCATTTGCCTCTTTCAGTGAAACTTTGGAAACAATGTGTTGTTCATTCCAACATTTAAAAATAAACAAGTCAGGTCTTGTTGAAAAATAAATGAACAAGAGCTACTTATATTAACTAGATAAGTCACAGGAAAAAACAGGAAAAATGGCAAGCTGCAAATGCAAATAATGGGATAACTTTTATATAAATTTTAAAATAGTCAAAACTACCTATTTTTTGGATAAATGCATATAAAGTTACAGAACCACTTTGGGAATGTTAAACACAAAAACTAGATTTTTGGCTGTCTACCTAGGAATAAAAAGATGGAATTGAATGGAGTTGAGGTGGGGCACACAGGGTGCTTCATGGGCATCTGTAATTATGCATTTCTTTAAAAAATGTAAAGCAAATAAAGGAAAAGGTTAAGATCTAACAAGGCTGTGGTGTAGCTGTTTATCCTGCTATTATCTGTACTTTTCTGTAAGCTTGAAACCAGCTTGTAACTTGGAAATGCTTAAGTAAATGCAAGAAGCTGAAGCCGTTGATGGTTGACAGGGTAGGAGAAGATGCAGAAATATTGACACCGGCCCTGTCCCATGTCACAAAGGTGTGACTGAGATGATGAGTGGTGGCTCTTGGGATCACGTTTCAATGCCCACTGAATACTCATCTCACTGGTCCCATATCCTATTTTTTAGATGAAATAGGAAAATGGAATTATTTGAATCCAGAGAGGCCACTCATCCCTTCTCCAATCTGGCTCCTGGTGCTGCACTTTTGAACTTAGGGAACTGAGTGTTTTGCCATGGTGGACGTGAAAGCAGATGCCTCCTATTTGTGGAAAGCATTAGATTACTTATGCATCGCGGGTACTTTGTTCAAGCTCTGAAAGACAAAGTTTCTTGGGAAAGAGACTCTGAAGAAGTTTTTACTCCTCCTGCTTAAGTTGCCTCAAATGTCATGAATAAAACATGAGATGTGTATCTTCGGAGCCATAAGTCTACCATGATATTCCTTTTCCCCCCAGGCCAAATATCAAGTGATGGGTTTTGCAGATACCTGATGTCAGATGAAAATGCCCCAGTCTTCCTAGATCGCCTAGAGCTTTACCAAGAAATGGACCACCCTCTGGCTCACTACTTCATCAGCTCTTCCCACAACACCTATCTCACTGGCAGACAGTTTGGTGGCAAGTCTTCAGTAGAAATGTACAGACAGGTCCTCCTGGCTGGTTGCAGGTCAGAAACTCAAGACACTGTTTCTTCTTTGGATTTGATGCTCTTCAATTGAATTTAGTTTTCTGTGAAAAATAAGACGTAGCATTCAGAGTGAAAAGGACATTTGTCTTTCTCTTTAATGGATTACGATGGCCATTTAACCTTGAGAAAGGAAAATTGGTATCTGTCCCAGAAAGGTCTCTAGTCCCCCTATGGGTCAAAAGATGTTTTTTTACTGTAAATTTAAAATATTCCCCCAACATTACCAAAAAGATAGCATATTTTAAGAAGTCATGCTAAGTTTCCTGTTGGTCCTAGGCACTTGCAAATTTAGCTTTACTTAATGTTCAAAGTTCTAAAATTTCATTCTCAGATCATAAAGATTATTTTAAATGGCTTTAATTTTACAGAAATTGGAAAATGTTTGAGGTTTAAAATATGGTGAAAATGCTGAAAGTGAAAAATAAGAAATGTAGTTACATTATGATTGTTTTCTTGATTGTCGATGACCAATACTTAATTTTTCAACTCACTATTTTCTGTGTGTATGGAAATACATTAAAAGACTTTCACTACATCACTACATCTGTTTCTGAATACTTAAATATGAGTCACTGAAACAATGAGAACATTTTAATTTATGGCCAAAGTAACATCATCCCACCTACAAAATTTTTACAGTATTCTTTAACATCCTCTAAAACACAGCCCATATCTAAATTTTCCCAGTTGTCCCCAAATTGTCCTTTATTACAGCTTTGTCACAACTAGGATTTCATCCAGAACCTCACTGCTTGTTACATCTCTTGTCTCTCTTAATTTCCGACAGTCCCATTTTGATGACCAATCTGGTGCGATTTTAACCTGCATCCTCCAAAAAATAATTGTGTTACTTCCTTCATTCCATTTTCTACTTCTATAGAAAACAACTTATTCTGATGTCTTTTCATTTGTACACACACTATTTTATTGTAAAGGTTCAATATTGGTAAATCACAATGTTCCTAGATGTGTTGAACTTGACTGTTGGGATGGAAAAGGTGAGGACCAAGAACCAATAATAACTCATGGAAAAGCAATGTGCACAGATATCCTTTTTAAGGTAAGTGTTTTTTTTTTTTCATTGAAGTATAGTTGATTTACAATGTTGTATTCATTTCTGCTGTGCAGTAAAGTGATTCAGTTATACATATATATATATATATATATATACATATTCTTTTTCATATTCTTTTACATTATGGTTTATTATAGGATATTAAATATAGTTCCCTATGCCATACAGTAGGACCTTGTTGTTTATTTTATATATAATAGTGTATATCTGCTAGTTCCAACCTCCTAATTTATCCCTCCCCACCCCCTTTCCCCTTTGGTAACTGTTAGAAACAGAGACTCACAGACATCGAAAAACTGTTTCATAAATAAGTTCATTTGTGTCATATTTTAGATTCCACATATAAGTGATATCATATGGTATTTGCTCTTTCTGACCTACTTCATTAAGTATGATAATCTCTAGGTCCATCCATGTTGCCGTAAATGGTGTGACTTCATTCTTTTTTATGGCTGAGTAGTATTCCATTGTGTATATATGTACCACATCTTCTTTATCCTTTTCTCTGTCGATGGACACTTAGGTTGCTTCCATGTCTTGGTTATTGTTAATAGTGCTGCTATGAACATGGGGTGCATGTATCTTTTTGAATTGGGATTTTTTCCAGATATATACCCAGGAGTGGCATTGCTGGATAATATGGTAGCTCTATTTTTAGCTTTTTAAGGAACCTCCATACTGTTTTCCATAGTGACTGCACCAATTTACATTCCCAACCACAGTGTAGGAGGGTTCCAAGGTAAGTTTTAAAATTACCTCACCATTGCCTTTTCTAAACTATTGTGGAAACAGAGACAGAGTGGAGAAAACAAATTATTCATCTCAAGCATCTTACCTTTATATTCCTTTCTTCCAGTTTTTCAGAGAAAGTCAAGAAAAATGTTTTATCCACTTAATATTTCCTTCATGCTAGTGTTTCTGCTTTCAAATGGTGATGGTGCCATATAATGAGATTTCTCTGGCAGAACCTCCCTTGTTCCACTCACTTTAAAAACAGTCTTTCATTTTCTTATCTATTTTTGTGCTTACTTACTTTGCATTTTTTTCTGAAGGACTTTCAAAGTGGAATAAAAAGATAAATAGAATACAGGAAATAAAATAGGTTATAAATAGTGCCTATATGGGTAAGAAAGTAAGATAGTGAGATTAGAGTTTTATGAATGCTTGTCAAGAAATCCTATAAACTTTCAAGCCATACCACAAATTGGGCTCCAAACTTTTTTGAATTCAGTGCAAGGAGAGAAACATGATAATTCACAGAATTTGTAAAATACATACAGAGTAGTTAGTCCAGAGAAGCACAGTTATCCCCCAGTACTGACACCAGATAGAAGTCGCCTCCCGCAAGATCCTCACAGAATGTAATCTACACTTTTATAAATTGGATTTCAGTCATGGCCTTTTGGTGATCTCTATGTACAATTTGAAGGTTGGTTTCTTAGCAGGTTCCTCAATATGCTCCAGTGATGTTCTGCCAAAAGACAAGTGAAAAACTGAAATTCTGTGGTTGGACAATATGTCAAGTACGTCAACCCCTGTCAGTTTCATATAATTCAGGAGAGTTATTTCAGCCTCTGGATCAATGGTTCTCAACTCTGCCAACATGTGGAAAATCACTGGGGCTGTTTTGTTTTGTTTTTTAATAGATTTATTTATTTTATTTACTTATTTTGGGCTGCATTGGGTCTTCGTTGCTACTTGCAGGCTTTCTCTAGTTGCAGCGAGTGGGGGCTACTCTTCGTTGCGGTGCACAGGCTTCTCGTTGCGGTGGCTTCTCTTGTTGCGGAGCACAAACTCTAGACAGGTGGGCTTCAGTAGTTGCGGCTCACAGACTCTAGAGCACAGGCTCAGTAGTTGCGGTGCACGGGCGTAGCTGCTCTGTGGCATGTGGCATCTTCCCGGACCAGGGGTCGAATCTGTGTCTCCTGCATTGGCAGGCAGATTCTTAACCACTGCGCCACCAGGGAAGTCCCACCGTAAGTGTTTTTAAAAACAGACACCTAGACCCTAGACCCGTGACCCTCCATGCATATCACTTCTCTTAGCCAAGATGTTGGTGAGTTTTGAACATCAATGAATTCAAGATTACATTTCCTGAGAAGTACCAAGAGTATGTTCAAGTGGGAAGCCATGAGTTTGCATAGCCACCAAACTGACAGCAAGGGTTGACATCTTTTTGCATAGAATTAAGGAGCCTAATAGGGAAGCGTAAGCTCAAAAGGAGGTTCTTCCCTCTCAGCTTGGAGGTGAGCAAAGAAGAAACCATGGGCAGAGCCAAGATTCTCCTAAAGGAGTAATTCTAGGTCAACTCAAGTGGATAATCAAGGTCACTTGGGAAGTGACTCAAGGCATTTTTGCCTGAGAAGAAACTTCAAGCAAGAATAGCTAAAGGACCACCTGAGCCATAAGAATGCTCAGTAAAATACTCCAAGATTGTCTAGCCTAGGCCATTATTCTTTCCAATGGACTTCCCTAGATAGCTATTGTCAAATATTTTCCCAACTAACAATGATGGGAATTGCCCCATGGTTAACTACCAGGGTGATACAAAACAAGGGATATTGCAAATGTCACATCAATTCACAGGAGTCTTCATTGAATTAATGAAATGTAGCCCAACTCTGGTGCCAAAAGGCAGAGGAAAGTCAACAAAAGCTTCTAACAGTCCTGAGGTTTTTACCAACACATTTCTCCTTGAGGCGAGAGGGGAAGGAGAAGGGTCTGCTGTGAAAATCTCTGTGCAGAAAGCTCACCTGCTTCTCAGTGAGAAAGGTGAGCTCTGAACCCATCTTGGCAGATTATCAAGCAAGGAACTGCACTGCCATTTAGGTGAAATGTCTTGTCAGTTACTAGCACCCTAATTTTGGAGAAGTAAAAGTAGCTTTGAAAAAAAGTGTCATTAACCATGAACTGTGCCTGGGTCTAACCACAGGGGACTCAGTCTGTAGCAGTAAATGGGTTCTCCAGGTCTTAATTGCCAAAACTGACTTTCTGAAAAGCTCAAATTAATAGTCTCCAGTTGGTTTCAGGTACCTTAATTCTTTTTCTCTCCTCTCTCATTAACACTCTTTATCTTTAAAGGATGTTATTCAAGCCATCAAGGAAACTGCATTTGTCACATCTGAATATCCTGTAATTCTCTCCTTTGAAAATCACTGCAGGTATAATGATTCATTCTACTCCAAGTCTCTAAGTGTTGTTTCCTAATCCCCATTCCCCACCCCTGCTCTACATCTTTTTGAATAACTGAATAGTTTCTTTTGTGAAGTGGTAAGTACACATAGTCTTATGGGGGAAAAAAAAGAGAAGAAACTCAAACCACTACCTCTCAACACTTCCAAAAAAAATAAAAGTCATGTTAATGTGTTTTAAGAAATGCTTCCTCTAAACAGAGGGCCAGAGAGCAGGACACCTTGCTCAGTGTTCTGTTGAGTTGGAAGACTTGGCAGTATGTTTGTAGTCAGACTTGATGAACTTGAAAGACACTTTTTACTCTGCTTACCAACTCTTAGTTTGGGGGCAGAATCGACTTCTTTTTAAACTACACCAGTTAATCCATTAGCATTAAGAGGACAATCAAACATTTTGCAGTGTAGGAGTTTTTAATCGCTAGGAATGGACGTTTCTTATTCTTATTCTGAACAGTTAATGGATGTTTGAATTTACAGATGTCGGTTCTTTCCCTCTAGCAAATATCAACAGTACAAGATGTCCAAATATTGCGAAGATCTATTTGGAGATCTCCTGTTGAAACAAGCACTTGAATCACATCCAGTATGTATTTTTAGCAAACCATATTTCTAACATGAATGGATTTGTTTTGAAATTCATTTCTGAAGGGCCAAGTAGTTCTGGAGGACTAATGTTAAAGATCTTCATGTGTATTTCTATTCGTTGGTATGGGAAGCTTCCATTGTGCTTCAGAGGGGTGTGTAGAGAGAGGCACAAAGTAAACATCTGGCTCAGTTTAATTCAGAAGATCATGGGGTCTTTATGGCTTCTGAGACCTCTGTCCTAAAATTTCACAAAGTGCGCACCGGCCAGGAGTCTAGAGTTGGTGATCATTCTCAAGTTCAGTGACAGGTTAGAATCACCTGGGGGAAGCGTGAAACATACCTCTGCCACAGCCCCATTCAGAGATTCCGAAATTGATTCAAGTTCAGCCAGATCGTGGTGTTTTTTAAATGCTCTCCAGGTAAATCAAATGTGCAGCCAAGGTTCAGCACCCACAGGAGCCTGTTGCTATGGGAAGTTCCCTGGATCAAGTCACAGAAGCCGGAAGTTCAGGCTCCTAAGTCCAAAGTAAACCCTTGGGCAATGTTACATGCACATTTCTGAGCTTCACTGTTACACCTACTAATTCCTTCCTCAAAGAATTTTTAACCTGTTCCCCATAGATAGGCTTTGTGGGGTCTGTGAACTCATTCTAATTGCATACAGTTTGCTGTTTTGTATACAGTCATTCCAGAGAGTTCATCAGATTTTTACCAGGATTTACCATAACCCCCAAGTGGGTTAACCCCCAAGTGGTTAAGATCCACTCTCACAAGATGTTGGGAGTAACAAGAAAGCTACTGGAGTGAAAGAAAGTATGAAGCACTCTACAGTAGTGAAATATTTTGCCCCACTGTTGATGAGCATCTGATAGGCCCAAACACGGTAGCCCGAAGCAGCAATAGAACATCACCATGACTAAAGGGGGAAGGTGCTCTGTGCTACCTGGGAACACCTCAGGTAGTTTAACAGTGAGTTTTGCAGAAGTACATTTTTGGGAACTGAAAAAAATATAGGAGGATATTTGCAGCCTGCTGAAGCTTTGGCTGCAGGGGCCCCATCCACATCCTGGCAGTGCTTCCTGCTTCCCTGCACACCGACCTGATCTCCACCGCCAGCACCTTCAGCTGCTGCCTGGGGGGACGCTTTGTCCCTGGAGCTCTGCCCACACAGGAAAGTCAGGCCAGGAGTACCAGAGAATTACCACCCCCGCCCCGCCCCGTGTTTCCTCATTCCTCAGGCGGGATGACTCCGGGCACATGGTCCCCACTGTCCCCCCAAGTTCCCCAGCGGGATCATGCTCCTGTCCACAGTGACAACTTGTCTGATAGCACACCCTTCATGACTGCCTGTCTTCTTTTTCTCACTTTCCTACTCCTCTGCTGGAGTTCCCTGGAGCTGCCCCCCAGATAAATTACTGGTACTTTCCTCTTTGTCTCAGACTGATTCTAAGAGAACCTAAACTAAGAAACATGCCTGCTTTATTTTATTTTATTTTTTACCTAGGCCCTTTGTTTTATTTTCTTTGTTAGACTAAGGTGCTTTTATGGAAAGATCTCCACATTCTTTGTGATGTGCACATACATGAGAGGTTATGGGAAGTATAGGCAATATAAATGAGAACTTTCAGTCCTGGAAGGAGGGCACAGGATACAAATGTAAAACTGTAACTAAAACAGATGGCCTTTAGTGTGGTGAATATTTATTGCCAATATCCAGGTGCAGAAGAGATCACTTGGAGTGTACTGGTTACGGCAGGCTTCCCAAAAGGAGCAGAATTTCGGTGGAGGGTTTCATTTGAGTCAGGACTGACATACGAAGGCACAGTGCCTTGTGTGTACAAATAGTATAAAAATTAGTTTGGAAAATGAGTGGATACGTGGAAGGTTAGGTGGGTATATAGATGGATGGTGGGGGGATGGGGAATGGATGACTGGATATAACACAGTTCAGTGGATCAGAAGTAATCGAATAAAGGAACATCCCCTTTGCAGATATTAATCCAAGCCAATGAAACCATAGTAGAGGTCAGATTTCAATAATTAGGACCACTTCCTTCTTAATTCTCTTATTGAACCCACAAAGCCACAATCCCAAGCATTGCAGATGGATCACCCTACTGAGCAGACCAGCTTACTGTACAACCCAACACTTGGGGGGGGCTCAGGAGCCTCTTGACTTTGCCTGGGAGGGCACCTCTGACCCCAGCTGACCCCATCACCTCTTGTACTTTACCAGGTACTTAAAGGGGGCAAGGTCTGGGGTTGAGCTGGACCCCTTACCCCAAGACCACTGTAGGTCAGACCGCACTCCCTGGGGAAGGTGGAGCAGCTCTGCAAACCTCTAGAGACCCTGTGGATGCCAAGTTTGCTGCCTTAGTAAGGCAAAGCTCAGGCTAGTTTGGGTTGCGGAATGAAAGTGTAAAACTGTGCAGACTGCCATCTAGTGGGTGTTGGTTGTGTAACTCACAGGCCTTCTGCTCATTCTGGGCTGGGAATGAGAAGGGAGAAGTACGACCCTGTCGTGAATTCAGCCTTTTCTCTTTGTCTCTAGCTGGAACCAGGCAGGCCTTTGCCATCCCCAAATGACCTCAAAAGAAAAATACTCATCAAAAATAAACGGCTGAAACCTGAGGTTGAAAAAAGTAAGTCAAATACACTCATATATGGCAGAAGCATACGTGTCTTGCATGTTGAGACAATTCAGCTATCTAGAATGAAATATACTTTAACACCACGGATTGCAGGGAAAGCAGGTCTAGTGGTGATGTTCTATATACTGTGCAGAGCAAAGTTGCCACATATTTATTCAAGTTTAGGTTCCACATCAATCCCTTCCTGCAGTGGGAAAACATATTCATATATTCATAGATCAGAATTTGGAGGAGTCCCAAGGAAAGATGAGAAGAAAGCAAAAGAAGCATTTTAGAATTTGTCAGATATAAGGAACTAGCACTTTAAAAGCTTCCCTTTGCACTTTTCCATGTGATATATACATATCAGGGATCCTAGGTAATACGCGAGAGTGAATGTGTGTGTGGTTGGGGGGTGGGGGGAGATGATTTTATCTAGACATTGCCCCCACTGTGTTTTCCCAGAACATTTTCTTTGAAAATATTTTCTTCCAACAAATCTCTTAGTTCAGTGAATGAATAGCATCAAATATTGGTATGGTTGCATTGTGGTTTTCCCCTTGGTTATTCTGAATTAAAATTTTTAAACTATTTTAGCTCCAGTTTATTTTTATTGCAAAAGCAATAATGCTATAGGAAAATGAAAACAGCAAAGAAAAATATAATAAAATAGCACTAAATTATATATTTTACACACATATACACGTATTAGAGACGCATGTACACACGTACACTTTTAACATATACACGCATTTTTAACAAAACTGGATCATGTTAAATATACTGATTTTTAGTCATTTTTAATTCAACCAATGAAGTATACTCATATCCAGTAGAATATAAATCTACGTACTAATTTTAATTCTTGTGTATAAATTTTTTTTGACTCTAGTGTATGAAACACTGTACAGAATTTATTATGTGGCATATAGTGTAATTTAAACAGATCCAAGTTGATGGATTTTCATTGCTATGAAAACAACAATGGTAAACATGTTTGGCTGTTCATTTTGTATATTTATGCAGCCTTCTCCTTGGTACAATTAGAGTTGGTTGGCCAAAGCATGTACACATTTTATATCATATGTATCTTGTATACTGACTTTCAGAAAAGTTGTACCAGTTTATACCCTCACTATAATATATGAAGAGTGCCTGTTCCCCAGTGATGTTCTTTTTTTTTGGCTGCATTGGGTCTTCGGTGTTGCGCTCGGGCTTTCTCTAGTTGCGGTGAGCAGGGGCTATTCTTCATCGCAGTGCGTGGGCTTCTCATTGCGGTGGCTTCTCTTGTCAAGGAGCACAGGCTCTAGGTCCGTGGGCTTCAGTAGTTGCAGCACACGGGCTCAGTAGTTGTGGCACATGGGCCTAGCTGCTCCACGGCAATGTGGGATCTTCCCGGACCAGGGCTCAAACCCGTGTCCCCTGCGTTGGCAGGCAGATTCTTAACCATGGCGCCACCAGGGAAGCCCCCAACAATGTTCTTAATGCTGGCTGTTAGGCGTCTTCTATATGTGTTCACAACTAATAAAAGAAAAATATTTTTTCTTGAGGCTTTTTCAGTCTCTATTCTGTCACTTCACCATAACAGTCCATAAACCTTGCTCTGTGCCAGATGCTCCAAATTCTGGGCTTTTGTTATCAAGCTTCAAATCCTTCACCAGGATATGGGGCATTTCCCTCATGTTCCAATAGTGGCTCAGTGTGTATAGATAATAGGGTTGTTGTACTTGCCTTAAGGACTCAAAGCCACCAGGACTGGGGAGACAGTGGCTGTGGCTGAGCCTCAGGAGCCTCGACAATAGGTTTCCCTTCCCTTTTCATTTCCTTCTCCATGTTGATCTTCAAGCCTATTTTATAAGTGATCCAACACTTGTCTCCAGCTCCTTCTTGTTTATTTTTAATAACAGAACAGCTTGAAGCTTTGAAAAGTATGATGGAAGCAGGAGAATCCGCTGCCCCAGTGAACATCTTAGAGGATGACAATGAAGAGGAAATAGAAAGTGGTGAGTTGGATTTTTTAAATTTACATGTCACAAAAAAATACTTTTTAAAATAAGAAAAACATGAATTTGTCTCAGTGGACCCTTTTATATAACACAACATTCTAATTCCTAACAGTCAGGTACATGTACCAACCTTAATCTTTTGGTATTTTGGGGTATTTTTCCAAATAGTATGACTTAGAATTTACCTGCACACTAGATTTTAGTAGCTTAGTCATCTCCTTTCCTGCTGTGCATTCAGCTATTCAGCAGAAACTCACAGCCAGAGAATCCTTGAAGCACTTGCTGTAGAAGGCCGGGCTTGGAATAAAAAGAACATTTCTGCAGTTCTTTCCCATAAACAAAACCTGAACATCAGTGCTGTTACTGATGACAGCAGTAAGGCGAGTTAAAAGGGAAGGAACCTGGATAGAGACCCTCAGTAAATGCTTGGTTTGTGTGCACTCATAGTGAACTAGAAACTCAAAGCCAGAATTAAACTTTCAAGTTCAAATTCCTTCAAATAACCAGCTCACCAGAATTGCCTATATCTATATTTACAGGTAGATAATTTTTGCAAAGGCAGCCTTGCTCAAAATATCTTAATATTTGTTATCAGCTTCTATTTTTACTTTGGCCATATAGCCGCAACCATAATCTTTGGTTTTACATGGGTCATTTGAAAGGTTTGGAATGCTTTTAGAAAATTATTTGTTCATTATGTATCATGAGAATTGATTAACAAAATGACATGAGAGTTGATTAACAGAAGAGTTTGCACATGCATTGAGTGTCTATTGGTTAGTGCCTTGAATTTAGATAGTGCCTTGGGGCTAAGTAATTTAGAAACACTTGTAGAAACTCTGTTTTTCATATAAACATCTGAAATAGAAGAGTAGATTTTAGGAAAGTTTTACATTATAGGTAAAAACCTAAAAGCTGTGAGAATCAACTAATCGTATTCACAACCCCTTAATAAAGACTCCTGACTATGGAAGAGACTTTATGAATGATTTATGTTGCCTGGGAACATGACTTACTTCCATATGTTTTATACATCAGGGAGGGTCTGGGAGGCCAGAGATACCTGGCAGTATTTAATCAATGCCTGTTGTGGTTATCTATTACTGTGTAACAAACCACCCCAAAACACTTTATTATTATCTCTCCTAGTTCTGTGGGTCCCCTGGGCTCAGGTTGAGGGCTCTCCCTTTGGTTTCTCATGCGGTTGCCAGCAGATGACATCGGGGGTGTCTTGGGCCGGGTGTCTTGAGATGGCTCACTCGTGGCTGATGGTTGATGCTGGCTGGCTTTTGGGAGCTCAGTTGACACAAGCACCCCCATGTGGCCTCCCCAAGTGGCTTGGGCTTTTCACAGCATGGTGGCCAAGCTCCTTGACAGAGCGTCCTGAGAACCAGTGCTCCAACAGGCAGAAAACAGAAGCTGCTAAACTGTTTAAGAGCTGTGCTTGGAACTGGCACATCATCACTTCCTCTATATTTTATTCATCCAAGCAGTCTTAGTTAGGGCCCACCCACATTCCAGGGGGTGGATGAGAGGCAAGATCACGTTGTAGAAAAATCAGTGGGAAGCTGACATCATTGCAGCTGTCTTTGGAAAATATAGTCTGCCACATTGCTTATTATATTATTTCACATTTTTTTGCAAATAATAAACCCAAACAAGATTTAAGAATAAAATCTTGAAAGGAATATACTGAGTTGGCCAAGAAGTTCGTTCAAGTTTTTCCATAACATCCTATGGAAATTTGGCCAACCCAGTATTTCAAAAGATCAATAAAATACTTCTAAAATTTGAAAGTCTGAATATTATATGAAAACTGTCCCTTAACTTAGGTTAAGTTTCATAGATGATAATCAAACACATGTAAGGTGTTACTAGATACTCTAATCCAGTAAAACGAACTGAAGAATAATGGAATACATTAAGAAAAATCATAATAACTACGATTTTTGTACCAACTGTGGATTAGGTACTTTACATCAATTCCTCATCTAATCTTTATGCAGCCAAATAAATAAGTATTATTATACTAATTTTTCATATGAGGAAACTGAAGCTTACAGTGGTAACATATGTTACATGCAATCCCACAGCTGGTGAGCAATGCCACTAAGATTCAATCCCAGAATTGCCTTGAGTCCAGGGTCAAGACCTTCTGTACCTTACAATATTGTCCTTCTAATGTATAGGAATATAAAGAGAACATAAAGATGCAAAATCATTGGTAAAAATATTTTTCTTTATAAAAAGGAGAAAAAATATAAATGATGTGAGTCAAAAATGTGAAGTTTCCTGAACATACACACACATTAATCTAAAATGAGGGGTCAGCAGGATTCCACTTACTGTCCTTAAGGGTACTTTCCCAACTTTTATGCAAATGCTAATTATTCCTATAGACAAAATAAATTTGCCTCTAGTGATTTCCATGTTATTCCAAAATGTTTGAGATAAAATTCTGATTGTTGTAACAGAGATCTATGGGTTCATATGCACCTGAATTTCTCTCTAAGGCCCTAGAGGTTTCTGCTCTACCAGTTACATATGTGAGTCTCACGTTTCCTCAGTCATACTTGACTTCAGCTCTGGTCAACCAGTTGGCTGTAATTACCCTGCTATCACAGTATGATCCTATTATACCTGAATGACTAGAGTCTCTCATTTAAATACTTCAGCACAGCAGGCTAGAGGAAGCCAAGCATAGTTCAAGAGGGCAGACCTGCCTGGAGGCTGTAGAAAATAGAAAAGGCTCTCAGTCAGTGGAAGTATGTGCCCAGTCATTAGGCTGGATGTAGATTCAGACAAACAGTGGGGAATAGCAACATTGTGTGTGGTTGTGGGAGTGTCTATGCATACGTACACACTCAGGAGATGCTAACCTTTAGTCATACAACCCTTTTAAAACAGTTACTAACCTTCAGTCATACAACCCTTTTAAAACAGTTACTAAGTCTCTCCCTCTTCTATGGGGTATATCCCTGGAAATTCAAGTAGTTTATATCTGGCTAAGCAGGTTAGACTAGATATAAAATTGAAATTCAGTAGTGATGGTGGGAGGTTTCAAAATCTTGGTTACAGACTGTAGGTCACGAAAACCCAGTGTCACATTAAGAGCATTGGGCTAAGAAGCCTGAGAAATCTAGGTTCATATTCTAACTCTGTGACCTCAGACAAGTCAAATCATATCGAGCATTGGGCTAAGAAGCCTGAGAAATCTAGGTTCATATTCTAACTCTGTGACCTCAGACAAGTCAAATCATATCTGTGAATCTATTTCCTTTAAATGAAGACACTGGACTAGATTCTTTTAAGACCTCTTTCAGCTTCTCAAATCCTTTTTTCTTGCCCAAGGCCTATATGACCTACTTTTAAAAACAATCATCTGCCTCCAGAATACCCCCTCATCAGAATATCAGTTCCAGAAGAGGAGGGTGTCTGACTCGTTTCCCTTACCTTTATCCCTTCCCTGGAATAACACTTTGCAAAAAGCAATCTAAAATTCTGAATCTAAGACACCGTCAGCTGAAAGGCACTACTATTTTATTGACTAAGAAAGAAAACTGCTTCCAGTGAATCGTAAAATGCCATCTATTAAAGGATACATTGCCATATTAGATATATTACAATGCGGGGAAAAATGCACCTTAGAATCGATGAAAGTTTTTCATTTTCTCCTGTTCTTGAATTCTCCTTTCCACCTTTGAAACATACTTAAAACAAAAAATGTCTAATTCTTATGGGTCTGTTCACCTCCCTCAGAAATATTTTCACTGTTTTCTTTTAATAGTAAAGTTCCCTCATGCCCAGTATAGTGACAGTGTGGATTTGTGTTGGCCTTGTCCTGTGGCCTGTGGGTGTTTCCTGATCCTGGCTAGTTTTTAGGCAAATTCCTGGGAGCCCCTGCAGGATGGGCATCATGGGAATACAGATCTCACACCAGCATGTGCCTAATTTTCCAACAGGCAATCCTTTTTCCACCTACAGCCTTGGGTGGATACCAGGGTTCTTGTAATTTCCTGAACTGGTGGGCCGGGTGATGGCATCTGTGCCTCCCTATATAGCCAGGCCAGGCTCCTGGGTCACCAGCTTGACTTAGCACCCACTTCCTGCTCCCTTCCCACCATGAGCCTAAGGAATGATTTCAGAGTCTTTTAAACCACAGCCAGATTTGGCAAATGATTTAGGAGAGCAGTAAGTCCTTTCAAGCTCTATCTTTTTTATATCAAACCACTCCCGGCCACAAGTCATTATGCCCATAAAATTCAAGTGGACATTTTTGACTCTTTTTCACAATTATCAAATGTACTTTCCTTCTCTTGTATCTTTTTTTTTTTCCTCTGGGTGTCATAGAGGATCAAAATACCCTGTTATGAGTCACAGTTCTTCCTGAGGTGTTTGAGGCTTTAATTTTTAAGGTTACTATACTGGAATGGAAGTAATCATTCACTTAAGAAAAATTGGTTAAGCATCAATCGTGTAAAAACCATGCTAACAATGATTTACTGTGTAACACAAGAACAATATTTGATATCTTGTAATAACCTATAGTGGAAAATAATCAGAAAAAATATATATATATAATGAATCACTTTGCTATACACCTGAAACTAATACAGTGTAAATCATCTATATTCAATTTAAAAAGTCATGCTAGATGCAGGAGAAGTAACAAGATATGTTCCTTGACCTTGAGTAGGTAAGAGTTTAGTGAGTTTTATTTGAAAAAAATTGCTTATTTAAATGTTCCCATTTTCGTTTGGCTTCCTTTCTCTCTAAAAGTGCTTATATTTTACCCAAGGTTATGGAGGAGGCCTGACCCCTTGGTGGTAAGTTGGCTTCATGGATTTTCCTTTTGTCTTTCACACAGCTGAGCAAGAGGAAGAAGCTCACCCTGAATACAAATATGGAAATGAACTTTCTGCGGACGACTTGGGTCACAAGGAAGCTATTGCCAATAGTGTTAAGAAGGTCAGAGTCTTGGTTCCCTTTGCTTTCATGACTTGCAAGAGGTAGCAGCTGTTAGTTATAGCATTTCAGAAATGTGAGAGCCCCAAGAGAATAAGTAGCCTAATTGCTCTTCTCAACTGGGTGGCCACAATCAATACCCGAACTCGAGGCGTGCACAATACTAAGTTAGAAAGGACATTTAAGTGACTCATTAGTCATGCCCAGTGTTGACCCCTACCTCTTTGGCCCATGTCCTTCAGATGTTTTTATTTATTGCATTATTATAGGTGAGCAGGGAGAAAACAGCAGCACCCCAGCAGCAAAGGTTAACCTATTCAAATCATCAGGAAAATGACCCCGATCACCCCAGCAAGCCCTCATTAGAAAACCAGTCCTACTTGTTGATATCTCGTCTCCCTCTTAATGTAGAATAAGCCTAAAAATATTTTCATCCATCCAACCATTCAGCCAAAAAAATAGTAACTGTGTACCCACTATGTGCCAGGCACTTTCTAGGCCATAACAACCCAGAAGGGTCAAAACACACTTGGCTTCTGCCCTCATGGAGCTGATAGGCTGATGGGAGTTTATTGCAAGGGGGTGGGAAACAGACAACAAACAAGTAAACAGTCATTTATATGATTACAATTTGTGATAGGTGCTATTACAAAACTAAGAGTGAGTGCTCAGATGGAAAAAAAAGAGGTGGAGAGAATAAAACAAGGAAATGAGAACCCAAAGGATAAAGAGGAACTGGCCATGCACAGGAATAGAGATGTTGCTTTGCCCAGAGAGGGACCACAGCAGTAGCAACAACAAAGGCAGGGTGAACAGAGTGGGTTGAGTGAGAGGTCGAGTGAAACAAGATGAGATTAGACAGGCAGGTGGGAACTGGAGGATGAAGGATGTGGTGGTGGTGGGGAGGTGGGGGGGCATGGTGAGAAACTCAAATGTTAATTTAAGTGAAATGTGAAGCTACTGAAAAAGTTTAAACAAACGGGGCAGTGTAGACTCACATAATTACCTTTGTGTGTGGGGGTAGTGATGTGTGTGTGTGTGTGTGTGTGTGCATGCACTGAGAACATTTGAGATCTGCTCTCTTAGCACCTTTTGAGTATACAATACAGTCTTCCTAACTGTAGTCACCATGCTGTACTTGAGAGCCCTGAAACTTATTCCTTTTATATCTGGAAGTTTGTACCCTTTGATCAACATCTCATTTCCCCCACCTGCTATCCCCTGGCAAAGTGGTTAATTTTTAAAATACTGTTGAGTGATTGAGTAAGAAGATGCAAGAGTCGTTGGCCTAGAAGTCATTGGTGACCTTGAAAAAAGGAGTCTCAGTGCGGAGGTTGGGACCCCTGTAGCAGGCAGATGTGAGTGAGGAGACACTACACTTTTGGGCAGTTTTGCTATAAAGGGGAGCTGGTGGCTAAAGGGAACCTGAGGAGTCCAGGGAGTATTATTTTTAGGATGAATGAATCTGGAGTGATAAATGAATTCCTGGACGTGGGTGGGATCATGGTGATGCGAGGGTGTGGTCTTTGATGGGAGCAGCGATACTTGATCATTAAGACAGAGGATGAAGATGCGGGTAGGTGTATGCCTTAGGTGCTAAGAAAATGGAAGCAAATTTGTTTGCCGTACAAAGTCAAGGGAATACTGCCATTACCCCTACCTTTTCCAATATAGAGAATTGCAGCTACTTTCAGACTAATAGATGCCTACTAAGACTCAGTGCTTACCTTTATGCTGCCTTTATCAACACAAGACATGAGTGTTGAATAGCTGAAGAGTGACCCTCTACATAGAGGAGGTGGCCACATTGATTATTTCCCAAGCCCCATCACTAAATCATGTACTAAATTACCATAAGGAAGCATCAAAATAGGCAGACTATCAACAAAGAAGGGAGATAAACATTAAGATGAGCTTTTATGGTGTGAAAGAGAGCTATGCCATGATACCTTTTCAGTTCTCACTTTATCTATGCCTTTATGTTACCAGTAATTTCCCATCGTAACAAATAAATAGAATAACAAGTGTACGTGAATTTATTTAAATATCTATATATGTATGGCTAGTAAATTTGGAATTTTGCCCTTTAGAGAGGTAAATTATTTTTATCTTTCTCTAATTTAGGCTTCAGATGACCTTGAACATGAAAACAACAAAAAGGTAACAAAATAATTTCATTGTACATTTTGTTTTCATTATAAGACACAGTATGTGGGCCTCTAATATTGAGCATTTTGTACTAAGTGTTGTTACTCTATCTTCCCCCACCCACTGCCCCATGAAATATTAGACTGTTTATAGGTATTATAGGTATAATATTTACATGCTCAATGCATCTACATATGAGTCTTCAAAAGAAAGAATTAATCACAGTGATGAAATGATTATATCCTGATAAAATCACAAAACAGAGGGCAGGCTAATAAGATGATTTTCCTAAAAATAAGTGTTTAGTGCAAATAGGCAATTTCGTAGTTGGAATTTGAGATTTCATTCCTAGAATAAGAGTACATAATCATCAACACACTGAATTTTAAAATAAAAATGACCTATAGGTCAACAAATTCATATTATAATAAAATGGGAAGGGGATCTTGGTTCTGACTATATTGACATTCTGAAAAATTGTCAGTTTCACATTGTACACATTCTAGGAGTTTTATCTAACATTATTCGATGTTGATTTTATTGTAAGGAAAGTAAAGTTACATTTTTAGTTTCTTTTATCCTCTTCACAGTTCATGATATGAAAAACTGCTCTTTTTTAGTAAATGTATGTGGTTTATTATAGTAGTGAGATGCAAAAATTTACCTTGTCATTTGATTCCCACACTTCAGAGCTTCAGAAAATACTATCTTATTGTGTATGGGGTCTTATCTTATTTGGAGTAAAACCCTATCTTCTTACTGTCTAAATATTGTTTGGAATAATTCTGGTTAAGTCTGATCCCGGTCTTCTCCCAAGATATTTGTGAAATTCTCTCCTACTAGAATTTCGTAAGGTGTTGGGGTCAACAAAGGACAGGTTGACCTGTGATCACTGATATTTATTAGCTAAGTAGCTGTGACCAAGTTATTTTAATCTTTAAGGACTCAGTCTTCCCATGTGGTCAGTGGGTCAGACTCTAATCCTTGCTACACATGATGACTGACAGTAACGAGGTTGTCATGCAGGGACTCAGGCCAGTACCTAGCTTATGGTACGGTGTTACTTATTATCATTAAACACACAAGAAAGGAATTAGACATGCCTCTGCCCTTATTTGGGGAGTCAGGACATATGAAAAATTTATTTTTAAAAAATCCCAAGTTACATTCTTTGATTATTTATCTTAGACTTTTACTTGTGCAATCAGTTTGATGATCTAGAATGTTAAGTTATCAGATAAACAAATGGCCTGACTATTTTTTTAACCAATGAATCGATTCATGTGAGTCAGCGGTTCATTCCTCAGTATCAATCTCAACTAAATGTTGATTGCTTTTGAAGGTGTTATTTTTGTTGTTGATTTTGTTGCTTTTGTTCTGATTTACTATGAAACGAACTACAATATGCTGTTTCTCTTTGCCTCTATGCAAAACAATGCAGTTTTAATAGGTCCTGTATGGTGGGTTCTCACATTAGTTTAAGAATAAGCATGTTTTTTAATACCGTAAACCACTTATGTATGTGGCTTGGTTTCTAAAGCAGTGTTAAACAAAGTGTGTGGTTCCCCAGACCACCCATATCATTAGCACTTGGGAACTAGTTAGAAATGCCAATTATTGGGCCTCACCCCAGACTCACTTTATCAGAAACTCTGAGAGTGTGTCCCCGGAATCTGTGACTTAACAAGCCTAGATTTACACTAAAATTGAAGGACCACCGTTTTTGACGTTATGCCACAATTTGTGAAATCATGAATGGTAATACCTGCTATACGTATTTCATAGCATTGCTCTGAACTTCAGTATAGTTTCCAGAATAAAGTCCTTTGAAAATCTAAAAAATGTCCCCCAAATATAAGGTAAACTTCATATTTTACTATTATCTCCATTTGCATTATTTGGAGCTACAGTGGACATTCACTTTTAAAGTTATCCTTTAGTTAGGATAACTGAGGAAGAAAGAAGTCTTTATCTTTAGATCTGTGTGTGTGCAAATTCTCACTAGTGGGGCAGTCTGAAGTGTAAATCTGAGAGACCTGCTGAAGCCACTGACGTGCATGTCCCTTTGTTGTGCTCGTAGGGCCTGGTAACTATAGAAGATGAGCAGGCATGGATGGCATCTTATAAATATGTAGGCGCCACCACTAATATCCATCCATATTTGTCCACAATGATCAACTATGCACAGCCCGTAAAGTTTCAAGGTTTCCACGTGGCTGAAGGTAACACCGAAGGTTAAATGCTATTGCCCTTTTTGTCTGCTTTTCTTACGTTATGCTGTGAGCTGTGATCTGACTTGCTGCCACTTTCTTTTCTGGGCACGGGGACTGTTCCATCTCACCTTATTTTCATTGCGTAGACCGCGTAGTGACATGTCCTTGGCATGTGGGGGCCTTGTGTTGTCGTTCCCTACATCGTCCACAAGGTGGCTCTGACAGACTATGGATTTGGTAGCAATCCAAGAGTTTAGCCTCTTGCATTAGATATACTTTTTTATAAGACTGCTTTCTCTCGAAAGCTGGTCTCCAAAAGCGTATCAAGTATTTTCAGACTTTTCATAATTATTTCTGGACTGGAGAAGCTATCATCCTCATTGGAAACACATATTTCAGGGGTGGCTGTGAATGGCAATTGGTATACACGTAATTGGTTTAATGACTCCAAATTTAATTCATCACACTTTTCTTAAGTCAGCCATCTCCATCCACAGGATGTTAATGAAATTAGGAGCTACTGATATAGTAAGGAAACATCTGCCTCTAAGGCCTCATGATTCAGGGTGTAATTATATTTATCGCTTGTCTTTCTGTGAGGGTTTGATGGCAGGGTTTCTAAGTGCATCTTTGCTTTCCTTTACAGAACGCAATATTCATTATAACATGTCTTCTTTTAATGAGTCAGTTGGTCTAGGCTACTTGAAGACACATGCGATTGAATTTGTGAAGTATCCTTATGTATTAAGTGGAATAAGTGGTTGGTGAACTTTGGGTTTGGCAGGAATCTCTAAAATAGAAAAATGGCTAATATATTATTGTGGTTGTAGAACTAATAAAATAATGTATGTGAAAGACCACAGCAGCTGGGAAAACCTGCCCAAATGTGGATTGTTTTTATAACCCACATGGTGAACTGTGGTTTTTCTCTTAGGCATCCTTTATACATGTGAAATTTGTTCTCTGTTGTCATATGTGTGTCATTGTTGATCTAGATCTTCACTGTTTTATCTCTTTGTCACTGCTGGAATACTCTTTTTGCCATTTTCCTTAATATGTTACACAGTTATAACAAACGGCAAATGAGCCGCATTTACCCCAAGGGAGGCCGAGTCGATTCCAGTAATTACATGCCTCAGATTTTCTGGAACGCTGGCTGCCAGATGGTTTCGCTGAACTATCAAACCCCAGGTAGGAACTGATGTCCAGTGACCTCGAATTCCACGAGAACGCTTTAACAGGACGGTGCCAACAGTTGCCATCAGTTGGCTGTGGGCATTTTTTTCATGGAAGCAGACATATGGCAACACAATGTGTTGTTGGATTTATAGAATGGTGAGAAATTAAAAATGCAAACTAGAGCAATAAAACAATGGTAGAAGATAATAGATTTTGATTTCAATTGAATATCCTTTTGGAAATGCCATGACTAATCTGCTAAACATTGTCCCTTTTTCCAAAATATGTCTAATTTTTCTTCTTTTTGGATCAAACTTACCTTCTCGTCCAGAGACAGAATGAAGTGAGAAGAATTTGAGCATCTTTGTACAGTAACTCTGACTCATTTCTCCTTGGGAAAGTACCCTTCCTACTGTTAACATTCAGCAGG